CAGAGCGTCTTCTTCTTCTTCCCTGTGATTTAGAGTTTTTAGGGTTCTTGTGAGAAAAATTGGGGGTTTTCGATTTTTAGAGTTTGGGGTTTCGATTCAGAGAATATCGGGAGAGAGTAACATAGGATATTACGATTTGCAGAAACGAGGTACTGTATGTTGCGACGTATCTAGATTTCTGGTGATTTTTGACATTTTTAATGAGTTTGTTTGAATTCCTCCTCTTGTTTTGCAAATCATATTTATATAGCAATTCTCATATGTGTAGATCGGAATTGAGTTCATGGAACAAGTCTGTCTCGGGGAGCTCGTAAAATGTGTAACGGCGGATGACAGATAAAAATCCAGGCCGTAGAGGTTTCTCGGTTGTCTAATATTTTGATATTACAGTATGTACTTGAGTTGTTGAAAGTTCAAAAGATCATATAAAGTTTGAACAAAAAAAACATGACAATTTAGCCAATTAGCTTTACGGCCTAAAACATAAGGTTTCCGATCGTATCTTCTTTTTTCTTTGAAATTAAATCTTTCAGTGTTTGATTCGTGATTGTAATGGATTTGATTTTCGCTTGGAGTGCTTCACTTACAGCCGAATCTCGATTTGAATGGATTTCGTAATCGATTTTTAGTTTCTTTGATTCACATTAACTATATCTCCATTTCAGATTAAAGTCTAGCCATTTTTTTTTTTTGCCAGGTTACAATGGATTTACGAAGAAATTATGTGCATGGGTTACGGAGATGCATCTCAATCTCAGAAGGCGTTAAGGTATAATCTATGTATATAGAGTGTCATGGCCCAATCCCATAAAATTCCCCAAAACCTAAAAAGCCCGTTACGTGTGGCCCAAGTGCTAAGTGAAACCCTAAKCTAGAGTCCCCTTTATCTCTATAATAAGCCACYCAAGTGAGAGGAGGATCAGAGTTGCGCAGCTAGAGAAAAACCCTATTGTTCTCCCACTTGCCTTCTCAGTTAAGCTAGTTCCGAGTAGCTGTTTTTCGGGGCTGATTGCCGGTGGCTCAGAAGGAATTKGATCGTGATTCTTWRATCTCTGGAAAGATCACGGATTCTAGTTTCTACAMCTTCTTTCSGATTCCAATTACGAGGTACGGTCTGCTCGCAATTCGTGTTTGAATATCGGGAAAAAWCTCAGTTWTCTGAATCTGAATTTTTGGTCTRAGATTCGACCAGTGAACTTTCGGGGRGATTTTCCGGCGATCCGTGAGGAGTTAGGCGACGATCTATATACCGTTAGAAAGAGGATTCTTCGTAGATTCTGGAGCTCTTTTCCGATTTGGATTATGAGGTAAGATGAATCCGCTATCTACGATTTAAGTTTGCCCTAGATGTCTGACCATAATCTGTTATCGGGTTTCACAGAGCTAACTTTGGAGGAAGGTGTATGCCGATACAGAACGAGTTAGATTACGATTTTGGTATCGTTGGAAACCTGACGTTACAAGGATTTCAGATCAAGTTTCGGTTTTCCAGTCCGATCTAAATCCGGTGAGTTATTGACGTTTCCTTCTGGTCAAGAAACACTTATTCTGTCAAAATCCAGAAACGCAATTTTTGACTTGAATCGTTATTTTCCAGACGCCAACCGCCCAAAACGCAGAGTCACGTCCTTCTAGGTTCACTTCTTCATTTTTTTATCATCCGAAAGGCTAAGGTGAGGGTGGGATCCTTGCTACTTTAGTATTAGTTAGCATTAGGTGTTCTTACATGCTAGTCTAGGAATGGAATGTTTGTTGTGGTTATCTATGCTAATTCTAGGAATGTTTGATGCTTGCTGATTGTTAGTATAAGGATTGTTTGATGTGTGGAAATTGCTTAGTAATTAAAAGACTTTAAAGAGTAAAAAGTATTGTTTGAGATTGTAGAGTAGATGATAGTTCTGGGAACGATCGCGTACGTAAGCCCGTTACAGAACTTTGCGTGTTGGACTACGAACGATCGCGTATGTAAGCCCGTTGTAGTCTTGGGCCTTAGAGGGCCGACGGGGAGGACAGACCCAAAACGGTAGAAAGGGGTTGGTTCCGCAAGTAAGGAATGGAAAGTTAATTGAATTATGTGGAATATGGAATTATGTTTTAAGAATTGAATATGAGATTGGAATGTAGAAATTGTGAATTTGGAATGCATGATTGCTAGTAATAGGTTGTGTGATGTTTGGTCTATTCCTTGGTTAGTATGTTTGATCATTTAATGTTTTCGAGTATTGGAGTTTTTGTGGATAATATCCTCACTGAGTAATTTCTTGTAGGAATTACTGATCCTTTTTTTTTTCCCTTTCAGGTGATGTTGAGTAGCGGCTCAAGGTGGRTGTTGTCCGGGTGCTGGTTTTAGCGGGATTTATGTTTGGATTTTTAAAACAATTTACTTAATATTTTTTTTCTACATTGGTTTTTCACGAGAAGGATTTATTAAGTTGGAATTATGGTTTTGTGGAATGATTTAAGACTTGAGTTAGGYAATAAATTATTGATTTTCATAAAAGTATCTGTTAGAATTGATAGGTTGTTTTCATGACTTGCCGTCTCGGCTAAGTAAGCGAGTCGGGTGTTAGATAGAGTATAATTTATTAGTTTTCACAGTTAAAAGTATTTTTATATATGCAATAATATCCAAACGGATAAAAAGTCTCAGGCCACTAAGTTACCACAATTACAAAGATTACAACTTCCTTATGTGGTTTCCGACTTCTCACACAAAGCCAAGATTATGATCAGCAAATCTAGAAAGAAAGCTAAACTTTCCATTTTCATATAGATTCTACTTTAATTACGCAATCAAGAAAACAAATTAAGTAATAAATCTTCATCAGAATATTCACGAAAATTAAAAATCATTAATCTCACGGCCTTGTTAAATAATCCATTATTTCCTCCACTAACTCCTCTATTGTCCTCCCCTCTCTTAAACTCTTTCGTACGTTTTTGATATCATCTAAATCAATAATAATGGGAACTCATGGAATTTTTATTGGTCTCATCGCTCTTTGTTGTTTTTGTCTACCTCATCTCATAGAAGCTAAACCATACGGAGTGTACCAACAACAAGTGTTCGTGGATCAGTCTGGCCATGGAAATTTCACGACGATACAAAAAGCTATTGATTCAGTCCCAAGCAACAACCGTCACTGGTTCTTCATCAACGTTAAAGCTGGTCTTTACAGGTCAGTGTAGCTAGCCACCTTAAATAAATAGAAAAAAATACATATATGCGAAAATATGATTAGTAACGTTTTGTTTTTGTCTATGTATTGTTTCCGTGAAAATAAATTATAAAGAGAGAAGATAAAGATACCGTATGAGAAACCGTACATAGTAATAATAGGAGCTGGAAAGAGATTAACGAGAGTTGAATGGGACGACCATGACTCGGTTGCACAAAGCCCTACCTTTGCTACTCTTGCCGATAACACCGTCGTTAAAAGCATCACTTTCGTCGTACGGTGATTTTTTCATATTATGGTTTTGTTTTGCATTTTTCATGTTGATTTGATTTTTTATTAAATATAGGGTCTCCTTTTAATCGGTGAGTTTTGTTTGCTTTTTTATGGTTTCGTAGAACTCTTATAATTTTCCTAGCAAAGGGAAAACGAATACAAACCCTAGAACTCCGGCGGTTGCGGCGTTGATCGGCGGCGATAAGTCGGCTTTTTACTCGGTAGGGTTTGCTGGAATTCAAGATACCTTGTGGGATTCGGATGGCCGACACTACTTCCACCGTTGCACCATACAAGGTGCCGTCGATTTCATCTTTGGTAACGGCCAATCTATTTACCAGGTCCGTTACATTCTTTACACAATAGTTATTGTTAGCTTTTAATTATTTTATCATTCTTTAATACTAAACCATACATCCAAATTAATCATGAATCTTTTAGATAGCGGAATTACATTTATAATTGGCCTGAATTATATATGTTTGTAGATGTTTGGTGTGTTCAATCCAAGATTAGGTTTCCTAATTGGATCGGAAATCCAAAAAAAAATGATATGAATTGAACAGTAGTACCATTAGAATATCTTTACTTTTTTCTAGTTTTCTATATCCAAAATGCTAAAAGGAAAATATCGAACCAAATTTGATTTTGTGTAAACATTTCACAAACACGAACCAATCCCTGGTTAGACATCCATCCTAGGAGTTGATCCTTAGACTCGGCCAATAAGAAGAATGGCCGTTTGGCTTTCACATTAATGTCCCATTATAGCTAGAACTAAAATCCAAATAATCGTGGTCTAGTCTAGTAACTAAATAAAAGCTATATTTTGGTGGATTATTGTAGAGCTGTGTGATACAAGTGCTAGGTGGGCTGCTACAACCGGGGCTAGCTGGTTACATAACGGCTCAAGGACGTACCAACCCGTACGATGCGAACGGATTCGTGTTCATAAACAGCCTTGTTTTTGGAACGGGCATGGCCTTCTTGGGCAGACCGTGGCGTGGCTACTCTCGAGTGATATTTTACAACTCAAACCTTACCGATGTGGTCGTTCCTGAAGGTTGGGACTCATGGAACTTTGCGGGCCATGAAAACCAGCTGACGTATACGGAACATGGATGCTTTGGAAGTGGATCCAATACTGGAAGACGTGTGAAGTGGGTTAAGAAGCTGACTGGATCCGCCGTTCAAAGTTTGGCTGATCTCAACTTCATTAATCGTGGTGGATGGGTTGAAGATTTACCCATCCCTGCTTGATCTCTCTTAGCTTCTATGTTTTGTTTACGTTTCTTATTGATCATCCCCGTTTTTAGTTTAACTAAGTGTAATCATTTCCCTCTCTTTAATATAGCTTGACTTTTACATTCCAAACAACAACGATC